CCATCTTCTTTCAAACCAGCACACTGCCTGAGCCATCTTCCCAGCCCAGAATTTTAATTTTTGCTCAGAGTAATAGTAAAAAATAACAAACTTCAAAAGAAATAACATGAGGAGGAACGTGACCTCTCTCACTCATGGTCTTGCTCAGTGACACCGTGTTATGTGAGTCGGATAGTGAACTGCATCAGGGGTGGAGCTGCACAGAGAACATGGTCTACTTGATTGTGATTTTTAGAGCTGCTTCTACCTATTAGTGTCACTCTCCCCAAGGACAGTGCCCCAGTGCCCACTTTTATTAAAAAATATCATCACATGGACCTGCCTGGACTGAGTCTACCAGGTCAACCCCGGTCCTCGGGGGAGACCTTGATCAGGAGGAGGTGGGAATGGGGGGTGGGCTGGGGGGAGGGGTGGGCGAGAGGGGGAGAACAGGGGATTCTGTGGCTATTATGTTGAACTGAATGGTGTTGTAAAATAATAATAATAATAATAATAATAAAACCAAAAAAAAAATATCATCGCTAAAGAAACACTAATGCCATGGTGTGAGGATGTTCAAATGGGTCTAACACTAAAGTCACAGTGTTATGAGGACTCGCTGTAGACATAATGTCATAAACTGAAAACTCCTGCACTCTGCTAGCATGCTACTGGTTTCTTGTTTTATTTTTCGTTGTAGCTTCTCATTCTTGCATGCAGCCATTGTCAGATTTTGTGACTGCACCAGTGGTGGCACCAGGCAGAACAAACACCGAGGCCAGAGCAAGGAAAGGAAAGATCCTAGGGCGTTTGAATGGCTCTTGATTTCCTCATCGGGAACCTCAGCTATAGTTAGATTTCCTGCTGCCCTTAGCAGCCATTAGCTTTTGAAAGCAGGATCTGGATATGATGATTATCCCCGACTTAGAGCTACACAAACAGATTGAATTTGTATGTCAGACAATATAATTTGCATTTGGAAGTGACCTGATGTTATGATTAGAAAGTCCAGGAGAATCAGATGACACCATGGGATCTTCATGTAGATGCATAGCTAATCATGATTTATTGTTAAAGGGATAACTAGACCACTCTTTGAGAGTTTAAGTTCTGGTTCATCTATTTCCAAATGTAGTTAGGATGCATATTTTGTGTCTATATATGATCAAACTGTAGAAATGAAAGACCTAAGATTTGACACAATCATTTCCAATTTAATCAGCTAATTAACATGTGCTTCATGTGTCGAGCAATGTTCTGCACATTTGGATAGATAAGAAATGGTTCTTTTCCCCATATTCTCATGGGTAGGGTAATGGCTAATCTTGGTTATAACTTTGGCATACCTGGGAAGAGAAAAATCTCAATTGAAGAATTACCCCATCCTGATGGCCTGTGGATGTGTCTTGGAGACATCTTCTTGGTTGCTAATTGATGTAGGAGGGGCCAACCCACTGTGGGCAATACCGTACCTAGGCAGGTGGGCCTAGGCTGCCCCACAGGAGCCTGGGAGAGCCTGGGCAGCAGGATGGGCTCTTGTTGGCTATTGTTGCCAGCATCGATCGGTGTGAGTTCTCATTCAGGCTGAGGCAGCTGGCTCCATTTCCTACCGTCTTCCTCTAGAACTGTCAGAATAATCAGGACAACACCCTCTCCTCCACATCTAATGCTGTGGACTCCCTTTCTGTGCTCACAAAGGTCTTTTGGACAGCTTCACTCTCTCTTAGGACTTCAGCTCACCAGAGGTTGACCTTCAGATCTGTCTTCCCTTTAGTAACTCCCTCCAGTTTTGTTTGCTATCACCATCCTATAGTCACTTTAACCCCATGGGAAAGTGACCCAGACTTCTTCTCGAGTTCATCTTCCTCATTCATCTATTGCCCATCTCCAAGTCCAGGCCGTAACAATGAAGAATTCTTTATTGTTCCCTCTTGTCCATCCCACTAAAACTGACCTCAGTACCCTCTAACTGATCGCCCTGTCCTCAGCCCTTTTCAAATTCATTTACCCATATTCAGGGTGGGATCCAAACTCTACAGTTATTTCCCTACCCACATCCCCCATGTCTGTCTTCGGCTTCTCCCTGCGGTTATGTCCTAGTCACACACTACACTGTCTTCCCCACTGCGCTGTTTTGCGTTCTTTTTGCGATTTTTTTTTTTTTT